ACATATGGGGTAAGAAGTGCCGAATGACTTCCTCTGTAAAATTTACGATATCTTTGTAATGAAGGGTATATATGCATACTTTCTTGCATGTATTTTATAGTCAAAGGACTCTAATTTCGAAAAATATCAACACGATCTGTGTGAGTTAAATATTCTTTATTTTATAGCAAAAAATGTCAAAAGTGACCCTTTACTCCCCGGTCTAACCTATTAGAGAAATTATGGCCTATGACTATCTTTTCCGTATGGCCATAATACCCTAGTTTACCCTACATTTTACACTTTTAGAATATGGTACGGGTTGCGGTTATCATCTTACAAATTCTGTGCTGTGACAATTGTAATGCAGATGATGCTCTCCGGACGCTGGTCTCAGGATTGTTATGAAAGTGATGTAGGATACGATTTTCTATTTGTGTATTTGCTCTTAACGGATCTTGATGAATTGAAAATGAGCCCGTCACTTGCAACCTATTAAAAGCCATTGTAATGACTCGCCGATACGATACTCTTCTGTTTGGAAATCGGCGTGCATATTCTCGCACCGCCTCTATTATCGTCGAAGCCATACACGAAAACCATATCAGTATTCAACGTTAGAATATGTACGTGGCATATTGTGCCAGGAGCAATTCACTCGATGACTTCTGATGAGTAACTGACGAATTTACAGGAGAAAGGCAGAAATGTAAACAAACAAAAAATATTTTCACTCGAAAACGAAATTTATTATTGTTTTCGTGCACGATTTCAGCAACGATACTTTAGAGGCTGTGCGTGAATAAAGCAACTACGTTTTGTCTTTTTTGCACAATTTTCTCCAAAACGAAGCAAAAACGAGCATATTTCTACTTTTTTTTAGTTTATCGATTCCCTACACACTTCCGAAGTTTTGATATTTAAATTCCAAACACCCTGTATATGCACATGTGTATGTATAATGACATAAATAGCCACTCACCTATTTATGTTCACATCAGTAGACTCTAAAATAGTCCTAGCTTTATCCATGTGACCATGTTCCACAGCCGCAAATAGAGCTAAAAATAAAATGATAATAATGTCAAGATTATTTCTAATTTAATATAAATTTTGATGTGACAAGAATAAATTTGGCAAAAACAAAAAGACGTTTGAGAAATTAAAATAAACAATAGATAAAAATAAAATACCATGCAGGTGTATGTTGAGGGATTGGGCCGAGAAAGAATTGATATGTATTGACGATAGATTATTTAGTTGGTGGGGCTGTTGTTTCTTCTTGCCGAAACCTTCTAGGAACTCCATCCCTTGCAACGAGTGGAACTCTGCGCGCATGAAAAAATAAGGTAAAATAAATAAATGATAATTAAATAAGTGAACCATTGTAAAGGATAAATAAGCGACAAATACATAATGTAAAACGAGAGAAATTTGAAGGAATCGTAAAAAGATTAATGTATATCTTGAGGAAGATAAATCCTTGTTTTAAGTATTCAAAATTTATTAAATTTTCGAGTTTTTACTTTTATAAGAACAAAAGCACAATCCATCAATCGGTATAACAATAGATAACTATGTTTTATGCTTTGGTCAGCGAAATATTTTAAGTAATTGTAGAACGAGAAATAAAGTCTTAAGTGTTTGCCAAAACTCAGCAACTTAGAAAATGAAAGAGAGCGAGAGAGAGAGAGAGAGAGAGAGAGAGATCTTCATTATTTCTTCCTTGAATTATTTTGTTCATCATAAAGTCAGCTCATATGTTTTACTTAAGCTATTATCACAACTAGAAATTTTCCCACATCAGTAACGTCTTACAATGCTTTACCGTTTTATTTCATGTTTAACATACTCGTACTTTCTTTTTATATCTTTCCACGATAATTATTAATTTGCTTTCTCATGAAAATACGCTAGTTAAATGCATTATTACATCAGAGATGTAATGTAGATTCCCTTTCTTTATCAATATCATAGAGAAAATAATTAAACCGACAATTTGCTGTGAAAACTTGAACTGACTTCCTAAGAAGTGATTAGTTACACCTGACGAAGTGATTAGGCACACCGCTGATTAATTAGAAAACTTATTAAGTCAGCATACTTGATCCTGATGATGTCGACACGAAAACTCGCTCCTGACCAATTTGCTCGTAATTCTTCATTTCCTTCATGTCTCTTTTCCTACCGGTCGCTATTTTATTTCGAAAACTATTACCACGTTTGTTTGTCCAAAAGTTTGTGATATTATCTACCGTTCTGACTTTACAGGACTTTGAAGGATATACCTTAGCGTCGTCGTAAATTTTCTGATTCTGTAGGCAGATTGTTGCGTTTTTACTTTCTGTCTCGTGTATCTTGCAATAAAATTTAATCATTGGGCGATCAAACTCACTCAAGGATTCGGTTGTCCTTCGATTTCCATTTATGACAATTACCGCATGCGAGTCGTCGCTCCTCACATTCCAAGAACTTCTCAAAGGCTCGGTCTCGCATCTATAACGAAATGTATTTTGCAATGGTTTTTCGAGGTATTCTTCGTCCTCATTCTTGTCTTGCTCGTTATTCGTTTTACAGAAGGGCCGGTTAATTGCGGGCTTGTGGGAATCCACAACGATGCTCAAGACATTGCGTTCGGATAATGTACTGCGCTCATTTTTACCATCTTGTTTTTGTCTTTGTTCCATCTCGTTCCCTTCTTCGACTTCATAGAAGAAGTTCGAGACGGAGGAATCCAAAGAACTATTCAGCACGAATGTAGGATTCTCATAAAATACATGTTTATTGAGCCCATCTGTGTCCGTTCCGCAGGGTTCATGTTTGTCACTAGAGTCTTTCTCCCGAGTAGCTTCTTGCGAGCTCCCTATGCTATGTCTCCTGCGAAAAATGTGAATAAGCTTCTGTAATTTTACATCTTCGTTCTTTATCCAAGGTTTCTCTACGTTCTTGTGACCCGTACTCATTAGCCTGTTAGTTAGAGACAGCTTACTCTTTAGATCTTTTGTAATTTCTCGCGAATCGGCATCGAGATTTGATACCGAGATCTTCCGAGGACTTGAAGATACCTCATTATCGATTTTGTTCGTAATGCAAGAATTCATATCTTTGGAATTTTTTCGTATACTCGAGAGTTTTTCACCATTTTGAAATTCTTCAAGAACAGGTAAGTTGCATTCCTTCTTAATGAAATTTTTTGAGATAGATGAGAGATCGAAACCAGCAGTCAATCGCAGATTCGCATGATTGCGTATCTTTGACACCAGTTTCATAGATGCTCGAAAGGATCTCGATCTTTTCAAGGTCGATATTCTACTGCCCGAGGAACGTCTTGAAAGTAGTTCCATTTTCGGGCTCGATGAAACGGATTTGCAAAATTTCATTTGGGGATCGCTCAATAGTTTTGCTTGATATATGTGCTATCGAGATATTTGATTTTTTCGATACGTCCGAGATATTTGAGAGTTTCGATACGTCCGAATATGTATTCTCAATGGAAGGAGATCACTCGTCTTATAAATTATAATGTTTATTACATATTATTGCTACTTATATGTTATCGTTCCTCTTTGGTAGAATAAAGCTTTGAAATTTCGAGTCTCCATAAATTCATAAAACAATTCTTTGGCTGGATAAAGCTGCAAAAAAATTATTGATATCGTCATTTGTTTGGTCCTATTATGTTTAACGGTACATTTTTCTCTCGAATAGCACGGCGAGGGGGAACTGTATATATTATTATACAATATATTATATAACATAGGCTTCAGAGATTATTCCAAAGTTTCTAAACGTTGACTATCTTAATGCGACCTACGAATTAATTCACTACATGTCAAGTTTTTGCTTTGACAGAATACCTCACTAATTTAACTCTTTTACAACGAAACTGATAAATATTTACATGAAGCGTTAGAATAAGTGGAAGAGCGATTAGGAATTAAAGGAGATTAGCACAAAATTGTTATCATGAAATAACGACGTAGTTGCTATGTGATTACTGTCTCCGAAACGATTTTATTGTTTACTTACGATCGCGTCGCTTGATTCTGCCGGACGACAATTGGTCATTATGAAGAAGTGGAAGGAAAATAGCCTCTTCCTTCTCGGACAATTTACCAGACCAATCAAATTTATTGCTGTCGTCCGTTATTCGTTAAGATCCGGATAACAGTAGAGTATAGGTGAAAATCACAATGACGAAATCGCTAGTGATCTAACCAATATCGAACATGTAGTAAAGTGATTGTTCCCAATAACGTATGAATAAGAAAAATTAAATTAGTTTCAACGCCTTATATTTTGAATAATTACGTTTGAAAAGAATATTAATGCTAGTGGTACCGATATCCATGTCAAAAACAAAAAAAGACGATTTTTACTTATATTAGAGATTCCAATAAAGAATCATTCATATCGTGATGTATTGCGTTTGTATTGAATGAACGTAATAATTTTCGAGCATTTTATTCAAGATTTTTGTATGCCGCTCGTCGACGCATCGACCTTGGCTTTCTCCGACTGTATCAGCATTTTATTCATCACAGTGATGATCGACTAAAATATTGTTTTATAGGTCGTGCCAGTCTGTTTCTCGCAAAAGCGTGAACGTTCCAGCTTACTCGAATTACTTGAAGGAAAAAAAAAATTGGACACTTCGGTAACGACATTAAAATTTATTATATGTTAACGAGAAAATTATTTGTTGACTAAATGTTAATTGCATAATTACAGTATGGAGCATAATTATAGTCAAGAGAATCGTCTGATAGTTTCGATCTGGAAAAGCAAATTTTTTAGTCCTTCATCTGGTTATATTTACATCTAGCTAAATTTTCATATGTTTTAAAAAAACTGTCTTTTCCATGTACGATTATCACTGAGTTATCAACATTATTTAAACTTTAAATAATTTTCCTCAATTTCTATTTTAAATAATTCTCCTCTTAAATAATTTCCTTGATTCTATTTTATACAGGGTGTCCCATTTTAAATGATCTAGCCAAATATCTCGAAAACTAAATCCAGTAGACAAAAATGTTTCAGACAAAAATAATTTGACTCGAAGGGGGACATAAGATGGTGCCATCGATTTGACCTTGGATAGTCCTCTGAAGGTCACGTAAAGATCACTTTTAATTTCTTAAATGGAACCCCTTACTTCTCATTGCACATTCTTACAGCTCATCTCGAGAGCTTTCCAAAACACTATAATTAAGTTACTTTTCATTAAGTACCAGTTAAGTTATAAAGCAAGATCGGAACTGATCCGGTCGATTAAAGCAAGATCGGGACTGATCCGGCCGATTAAAGCAAGATCGGGGCTGATCCAGCCGACTAAAGCAAGATCGGGGCTGATCCGGCCGACTAAAGCAAAATCGGAACTGATCCGGCCGATTAAAGCAAGATCGAGACTGATCCGGCCGATTAAAGCAAAATCGGGGCTGATCCGGCCGATTAAAGCAAGATCGGGACCGATCCGGTCGATTCATATCAGAATCTAATTTTCATGTAAAATGATTATGAGTGTATCTTAATAAGTGTTCGAATATCTGTCCGTTATTATCCACACATAATTGAACTCGACGTTCAAAACTGTCAATTGTCGATAAAAGTTATTTCTTGGAATACTACGGCAGGCAAGAGTTATACGCTCCATCATATTCTCTCTTGTTGTGTGTGTTTTTGAATATACTACGTTTTCCAAGTATCCCCATAAAAAGAAATCTAGATTTGACAAGTCTGGAGATCTAGGACACCATGACACTGGTCCACTGCGTCCTATCCATCTACCTGGGAATATGAGATCTAAATGGTTTCTAACTCTTCTACTCCAGTGCGCAGGCGCATCATCCTGTTGAAAGAACATACGGTGTCTTGTATCCAGATCGATATCTTCAAACAACGCCGGCAATCTTTGTTATAGAAAGTGTAAATAATTATTACCATTAACATTTTCATCAAAGAAATAAGGCCCGATAAGGTTTAATATGCCACACCATACAATGAGGTGTTTATGATTATGCCTTAGGTCTCGTCCGGATGGAGAATTAAGTGTAGTCGTGCGTCCGCGCACGTTCAGCCAACAGAGTTTAGATACTAGGGAAAAAATTTTTTCCCTTGTCGCGCCGTGGCGCTACCGATGCCGTGGCGCGCCTAACGCTGCGCGCCACCGGCCATGTTCATTGTGTTTCTGTTTACGTCAGTCAACATATCGACAGTTAAAGTTATCCGTGTTTTGTGCGATTCTGGTAGTGTCAGGTGTACGATTATGGCCAGCTCGCGCTCTAGGAGCCGCTCGAGCTCAAGAGAGCATAAGAAGCACAGGAAACGCTCTCGCGAATATAAGAGGAAACGTGATAGATCGCGTGTCCGCTCGCGCGAGGTTAAGCGTTCTCGATCCTTCTCCGAGGATCGTTTAGGCCAGGGATCGCCGAGATACTCGCAGACGCTTGGAGATGCAGCACTCCTGACGAACATTCTAGAGGCAGTTCAGGACCAAGGACGAAAGATTGCCCTATTGGAAAGCGAGGTTAGGGGACGACAGTCGCGTTCCCCCCCTTTTCAGCCACAAGAAGAGCCGACGACTCATGAGAGCCGGGGCACCGAACCAGGTAAGCTCCCTTGTCGACCCTTTTTCCGAGGAAATTGGCAAAGAGGGAGCTTAACCGACGGCTCTTCTGCGGCACAGTATTCATGACTTCTCCGTCCGTTGCAGACGTAGCGTCAGAACCAAAGGACCACTCAGTCACTTTTGTAAATACAGACGCTGAACAGGATGGAGAGCCATCACTGGTCAGCCAGCTGTTCCGCACTCAGCAGGATTCGCTGGAGGTTTTGGCATGGGATCAGGTAATGCTCGACTTTACCAGAGCTACCGTAAGGGCCGGGCTCCCAGACGATTTGCGTACACAGTTGCTGACTAAATTCGGGGTTAGGGAAGGTTTCGCATCCTTCGGACCACCGAAACTCAACAAACTACTGCTGCCGGTGCTGAAAGCCTCATCAACGGTTGCTAAAAGGGATGAGTACCAGGCCCAAACGCAGGTCGCAGCCGCTCTCAATGCCCTAGGCGCAGGCCTTTCCCACCTCACAAAACCTGAGGTGACCTCTCTCTTGCCAATGGATGGTAAGTCAGCGCTCAGCCAGATCGCTGAAGGCATACAACTTCTAGCCGATCACCAATATAGGCTGTCACTAGCCAGACGGGCCTTCATAAAACCGGCCTTGAATTTGTTGGGGAAATCTACCGCCGACCTAGCCCCAATAGACGAGTGGCTGTTCGGGACTTCGTTCGTTGAAGAAGTCAAAGACGCCCAGGCCTGTGAGAAAGTCGCCCGGGTGCTCTCCAAGACTCCGGCCACGCCCTCCAAGGTCACCCCTCTCCCAGGAGCGAAGATCCAATCAGCCCGGAGACAGGCCCCAGCGGGAAACGCGAGAGCCCCTGCCCGCCAGTCGAATCAACCGTATCGCCGGGCAGGGGCTCACCTACCGAGGAGCCGGTCTCAAAGACCAGCGTCCCGCTCTCGCACACATCGCCGCTGAATCCGGTAAGAACCGCAGGCCGACTGGCTTATTTCTTGCACAATTGGAAGGTTATAACATCGGACCAGGAAGTTTTGCGGGCAATTCAGGGATATAAAATCCCTTTTTTCGTATCACCACCCGCTCGCTCGGAGCTGGAGGAACCAACCTTTTCAGCCTCGTCCTCGACTCACTGTAACTTAGAAATTGACAGACTATTACGAAAAGGGGCCATATATCCAGTTCAACCCTTAAGGGATCAGTTTCTCTCCCCCTTTTTCCTAATTGACAAACCATCAGGAGGCAGGCGTTTCATATTAAATCTAAAAGAGCTTAATACCCACATTCTCCCACCTCACTTTAAGTTGGAAGACTGGCGGACAGTTGTACGTCTCATGCTCCCTAATGTCGAGATGGCATCTCTAGATTTAGAAGACGCTTATTTAGCAGTGCCTATCCACCCTTCGTACAGGAAATATCTTAGATTCCGATGGCAGGGGATTATCTATGAATTTGCGGCCCTACCATTTGGCCTCGCTACAGCGCCGTATATATTTACAAAAATTTTACGCCCAGTGGTTGCTTATCTTCGTGCAGAAGGTTACGAGTCGGTACTGTATCTGGACGATTTCCTCCTACTGGCCCACTTAAAAGAAGCCTGTCGACGTAATGTGCAGGCGCATATCAATACTCTTTCGAAGCTGGGCTTTGTTATTAACTTTGGGAAGTCAGAACTGGAACCTGCTCGCCGTCGCAAATACCTTGGCTTTGTGTTTGATTCGGAATCGCAATCTGTCGCTATTCCAGAAACCCGCCGAATTAAACTGTATTCGCTTGTTTCAGATTTCTCGGCCAAATCTCACTGCTCGATCACGGATTTCGCCAGCATGATTGGCTCCCTTATTTCAGTCTGTCCCGCGGTGAAGTATGGCTTACTCTACACAAAGAACTTTGAGAGGCATAAATTCCTGGCCCTCAAAGGAACTAATAACGACTTCAAAGCTAGAATGGTTATCTCGCGGGATCTCGATGAGGATTTCCGTTGGTGGCTGGATGCTTTAGCCAAACAGGATCGGGCGAATCATATTCTAACAGGTCGCTTCGCTCGAGAAATTTTTTCGGATGCCTCCCTGACGGGCTGGGGCGCGTCATCATCCGAGGATAGGACTCATGGCTGGTGGTCTGAGGCGGAGAAGACCCTTCACATTAATACATTAGAGCTTAAAGCCGCTTTCTACGGATTAAAATGCTTTGCATCGGATCTAAGTAACTGTGAGATTTTATTAAGGGTGGATAACACCACAGCAATATCATATATTAATCGTTTCGGATCGGTCAAATATCCCCACTTATCAGCCTTTTCAAGGGATATCTGGCAGTGGTGTGAGGCTAAAAATATCTGGCTGGTAGCCTCATACATCGCCTCGGCCGAAAATGCCATTGCGGACGAAGAATCTCGTCGCAGAAATGCGGACACTGAATGGTCGTTGTCCGCGGACGCTTTTCAGATAATAGACAGGGAATTTGGCCCCTTTGACATTGACCTCTTCGCTTCTAACATTAATGCAAAGTGCAACATCTTTGTCTCCTGGTTTCCAGACCCAGAGTCTTTTGATGTCGACGCATTCACCCTTTACTGGGGTGAATTCCATTTTTACGCTTTCCCCCCCTTCATTTTACTTCCACGGGTCCTACGGAAAATCATTGACGATAAAGCAGAAGGGGTGGTGATAGTTCCGTGGTGGCCATCACAACCCTGGTTTCCACTCTTTAATCGTCTTACAACCTCACATCCAATTATTTTGCGCCCAGCGGATAACCTGTTGTCTTCTCCTTTTAGGGATCACCACCCGGCGGCCAGATCCCTTTCCCTGGGGGCAGGGAACTTATCGGGCAAGCATTTAAGGCTAGAGGGGTCCCGCAGTCGGCCGTCGACATCATGTTAGCGTCTCTCTCACCAGCTACAATCCGTCAATATTCGGGCCCTCTCCGCTCCTGGTGGGTTTTTTCTCAAAATCAGCATTGCTCTCCATTCCGTCCAGAAACCAAGGATGTCCTCCTTTTTCTGTCAGGTCTATCGCGAACAGTAGGCTCTTATGCCTCGCTGAACTCTGCCAGATCCGCGATTTCTCTAATTTCGTCAAACAAAATCGGTAACGACCCCTTGATCAAACGGTTCTGTAAGGGGATTAGTGTACTGAAACCTTCCGGTCCGCGTTATGATTACATTTGGGATCCATCCCCGGTAATATCGAAACTGACAACCCTCTTCCCACACGAATCGCTATCACTAGAGGTGATAACTAAGAAGTTAGTCGTGTTATTAGCGCTAGCATCGGGACAACGGTGTCAAACCCTTGCCGCGATTCGTGTTTCGCAGATCTCATTTACTGCACAAAGGGTTCTCATTCGCGTACCGGATCGAATAAAGACCTCAGCTCCGGGCCGATCTCAACCTCTTCTGTCCTTCCCTCGATTCAAGGGGCACGACAATTTATGTGTTGTCAATTTACTCTCTCACTATTTGTCAAGAACGCAAGACATTCGCCCCTCGGCCTGTGATTCCCTCTTTATTGCGCTCAAACGCCCGCATACCGCGGTAGGCACCCAGACGATTAGCCGTTGGATAAAAAGTACCCTAGCCGAGTGCGGTGTAGAAGACATCTTCTCCGCTCACAGTACGCGACATGCGTCAACGTCACTCGTGGCCCAGAAGGGCTTCTCTGTGAATCTTATCAGGCGGGCGGCGGGATGGTCCGGCGAATCGCGTGTATTCGCGAATTTTTACAATAGAACAGTATTAGACGAAGACGCGTTCGCTAACGCGATCTTATCATCAAGTCTATCCATGTCATAGTTTAGTTCTTTTTTCATCCGCGTTACAATTATATTCAGGCTCTCATGCATGTACCGTTTTTACTCATGCTTAATAAAAAGCAATTGTTTCCTTTTTTTTTATTTAGCTATCGAAATGTTTACCGAGTTTCTTAACTCCTCCTTCTCGTTTTACTATCGGGGATGAGAACGAGTCACGTTCTGAACATCTACACTTAATTCTCCATCCGGACGAGACCTAAGGCATAATTTATAGATCAAACGAACTTACCAAGTGAAGTTCGATCATAATTATGCCGATGGTCTCGTCCGGATGGACCAACCCTCCCTGATCCTCCCCGGAGCGTAAGCATTACCAGGTGACTCGTTCTGGGCTCCCCGGTGTTTTGAAATATGAACATGGCCGGTGGCGCGCAGCGTTAGGCGCGCCACGGCATCGGTAGCGCCACGGCGCGACAAGGGAAAAAATTTTTTCCCTAGTATCTAAACTCTGTTGGCTGAACGTGCGCGGACGCACGACTACACTTAATTCTCCATCCGGACGAGACCATCGACATAATTATGATCGAACTTCACTTGGTAAGTAATACCAACGTGGGTTTTCAACAGACTAATAATGAGAATTATGTCGATTTAATTGTCCAGTGTTGTGAAAAGTTGCTTCGTCACTAAATAAAACAAATCTGAAAAATGTTCGATCACGATTTAACATTATTTGTGCCCACCCACAAAATTCTAGTCTTTGTTGAAAATCATTGAGTGTTAATTGTTGTGTCAAAGTGATATGGTAAGGATGGAAGTTATGAGTGGTCAAGATCCTGTGACTCGTTTATTTCGGAATACCTAATTCTCTTTCGATTTGCCTCGTTGACACGCGTGTATTAATAGCTATCATTCCCAATACGGCAAGTACTGTTGGATCATCCCTTTTTGGTACGTTAATATGACGTCTTTGTCGTTTTTGATGTTGACGTTGTCGTTGACGCAATACAAGTCTGAAAATCGTACAATGATTTGGATGTCGTCTATGAGGAAATCGATTACGGTACAATACCGCTGCTTGTCGATAATTATTATGGCATTCTCCAAGTATCAGAACAATATCAATAATTTTGTTTAAAGTATAATCCGGCATTTTGCGTACATTAAGTTACAAGATAAAGTAAGAGCCGATAGATTTATTATCCTGGTTGATATTGGACGACTACGACAAATTCACGCATTTACGGATCATTCTTTGCCATCAGCCATTATGGATCAATCCCGATTAGATGGACCGAGTAAGATGGAAAATGTTGCGTGAGTATAAAGTTCAGCGCTCGGAATCAGTTGCCCTTTTCGACCAGATTTCTAAGGAGACGTCTACTATCCCCCCACTACCGCTCCAAACTCTACCCGAGCCGCCGATCGCGCGCGTAACGCTGAGCCTCAGAAGCGTCCGTGACAAATATATTAGGCCCGTATCTTTCATGAAATTTTTAATTATTTAGCAAAACTTTTTTTGCTAAATAATTATTACATTTACAAATAATAACTTTTATGTTTATGAATTTAACGTACAAAAATTTATTATTAAAATATTAAATTGTGTAAAGTAATTACACAGTAATAATCATAGCACATATAACCATTTACTTTATTACCCTATTTCTTATAATTCATAAAGAAATAAATAACATCATTTTTAGAAATACTAATATTTATTCCCTAAAGTTTAGATGATATTTATTCTTTTTCCCTGTTATAACTTAACTAGTACTTAACGAAAAGTAACTTAATTATAGTGTTTTGGAAAGCTCTCGAGATGAGCTGTAAGAATGTGCAATGAGAAATAAGGGGTTCCATTTAAAAAATTAAAGGTGACCTTCACGTGACCTTCAGAGGACTATCCAAGGTCGAATCGATGGCACCTTATGTCCCCCTTCGAGTCAAACAACTTTTGTCTGAAACATTTTTGTCTACTGGGTTTAGTTTCGAGATATTTGGCTGGATCATTCAAAATGGGACACCCTGTATATACACGGGTGGCACCCAGTTGGACACGGCTCAATTGGACACGAGCCACTCACAGCGCTTGAGACTACAAAGCTCCTAAGCACCGGTCGCTGTGATTGAATCGAGCCGTGGTCAATCTGGATCACCCCTGTATACACTACGCAACAAAATTATCGCAACAAAATTTTTCATCGAAATTTTTCATCATATCAAGACGATTTTTTTTTCATTTTGTAGGTAATTATCTGTACTGTAAGAAAAACTTGATGCGAAATTAGGTGCAAGTCGATGCAGCATCTCCATGTTTTGATAAAGCCAAGCATTTTTTTCCTTAAAAAATTTGATTGTTTGACGCTCTACGTGGATCGCCCCGATTTTTTTTTGAAAATACCACATAGACCATTGTAAAGTGCACTTTTCAACAAACAATTTGAAAAAAAATTCGAGTCTCTACAATTTTTTTGAGCGAGTAATGCCATTTTGAAGTTATTCGGGCATTTTTAACGAATACGCCAGCATTAGCATTACCCGATACGTACCGCGAGGAGGTTGCTAGTCGGACTTTACGCATCATTTTAGCCCTGAAAATGGCCGATTATGTAAACCAGTTGTCAAATTAGGGACCCCGTTGGTCGTCACTTCCACAGTATTTTCTGACTCCAAACCCTATTTGCCTAATGCCAGAGCGGTCAAGTGTTAAAGGCATTCAATACCGTGTATTGCCACCTCGGCGTCGGTTAACCTCTCCTAAACGTTCTTGCATATTAATTCATACTCTGATTGAATCTTGAGGTATCTCGTGCCAGATTTCATGTAGAACTCTCTCAAGCTCTTGCAGATTAGCAGGAGGCCTCTCCAAGTTACGTAATCTCCTACCCATCATGTCCCATACATGCTCAATAGGATTGAGGTCTGGGTTGTTAGATGGATGAGGCAGTAATTGTACATTGTTTACTGCCAAGTACTCACAAGTTACCCACGCAACATGGGGAAGTGCATTATCCTGCGTCAAGATGAAATCACGGCCTATTCGTGGACGTATTGGAATCACGCAAGGACGCAAAACTTCGTTTATGTAACATACCGCTGTGAATCCTGGGGGTTGGAGAATCACTAGATCTGTTCGATGGTTGAATGATATTCCACCCTATACCGTAACGGATCCTCCACCGAACGCTCGAGTTGGATCAACATGATTCGCTCCAAAACGCTCTCGTCTACGTCGCCAAATTCGGATCCTAGCATCATTCCCAAACAGACAAAATCGAGATTCGTCTGTAAACAACACATTTCTCCACTGTCAGGCCGTACAGTTTCGATGATTACGAGCGTAACGTAGACGAGTTTCCCGATGCACTGTTGTCAATATGGGCACTCTAGCACGAATTCGTGATCTTAAACCTCTTTCGCGTCTTCTTATCGTTTGAGTATTAATTCGTCTGCCTGGTAAAGCTTTATTACCGATTTGTCGCGCAACCCTTGTTGGGACGCGCAGAGCTTCATTGACAATTTTGCGATCCTCCCGATTTGTAGTTACCTTAGATCGACCTTGACCAGGCCTCCGACGATAAGAATCTGTTTCTTGGTACCGACTTTAACACGCGACACCGTCGAGCGATTAATACCCATTCTTATTGCTATGGCACTCTGACTCAATCCCGCCTCTAGCAGGGCCACAATTTGAGCAGATTGAATTTTAGTAAGTCGAGACATTTTTAGTAAGAAAATAAAATATCCTGTGCTTTTCTGTATTTTTTTATTAATATTCACTCTGCATAATAAAATTAATGTTCCATACGGATCCTTCCCCATAATAAGGTTTCGGCATTTGATTCTATCGCGATATTCGTTAAAAACGCCAAAATATCTTCAAAATGGCATTACTCGGTCAAAAAAAATCGTAGACTCGAATTTTTTTTCAAATTGTTTGTTGAAAAGTGCACTTTACAATGGTCAATGTGGTATTTTCGAAAAAAAATCGGGGCTATCGAGGTAGCGCGTCAAACGATCAAATTTTTTAAGAAAAAAAATGCTTGGACTTTTTCAAAACATGGAGATGCGGCATCAACTTGCACCTAATTTCGCATCAAGTTTTTCTTAAAGTACAAATAATTATCTACAAAATGAAAAAAAAATCGTCTTGATACGATAAAAATTGACCGAGTTATGCGCATTTGAAAAATAGCAAAATTTCGATGAAAAATTTTGTTGCGATAATTTTGTTGCGTAGTGTATATATATATATATACATATATAAATATTGCTAAAAAGAGCATTATTATTGATTAACATCTTATTCAGAATCTATATCATAAAATTATGATTAAAAAAAAATTTTTTCCCCGAATTCGGAACTAATTTCATAGTACTTCGAAGTGGTCACCCATCCGATTGCATACAGCCATTTATTATCCTTGACTTCTGAAACCGCTGCACTTCAATGATCTACGAATACCTGTATACCAGGTATGTAAATATGAAACTGGAATTTACCAATAGATGGCCATAGCTGTCAATGTAGTTGCCGTCAGACCGCATCATTGACGCATTTCTTTGTTCTGACATCTGACAAAGATTTTCAACTCACAACAATACAAGTTTCATACAACAGTATAGTTTGTAATAGCGTTGAACATGTCGAATTTTGTGCCTGGAAACTACGATTTGCGGACAGCATTGATTTTCTGTTACCATTTGAAGAAAACTGCTGCAAAATCGCATCGAATGCTTGTCGAAGCTTACGGTGAGCATGCTCTTGGCAAATCACAGTACTTTGAGTGGTTTAAAAAATTCAAAAGAGGCTATTTTGACGTGAGAAACGAAGAACGTGGAAAACCACCGAAAAAGTTTGAAGACAGCGAATTGCAAGCATTGTTGGATGAGGATGACGCTCAAACTCAATAACAACTCGCGGATTAATTGAATGTGACACGAGAAACCGTCTCCATACATTTGAAATCCATAGGAAAGATCCAGAATATGGGAAAATGGGTTCCACATGAACTGAATGAAAGACGGCAGGAAAAC